TTGTCCCATTCGTATGCTGCCATGTTGGTGTGAGGAAAACGCAAAATTGTATACTTACCTATCTGTAATTTTCCTTTCCTGATGCCAATACATGGCAGCATACGGGGCCCTCCCATGGCTTTTGCATTGTGTGCTTGTTACGAGAATGGTTGCCTTAGGAGGCACGTTTTGATTTATACTATAACTGGTCCTGTGATTGGGTGAGGGGTGGAGCATTAGGAGGTTTCTCTGAACTATTTGGATGTGGTTTAGGCTGTCCAAGTATATCTCTTGGCTACAGGTTGCATTGTCTCTCTGTCCCTCCTGAAGGACCTTGCAGGGGACCATGTGTCTTGTTCCACCATATATTGAGGTGGATTAGACAGGTCATTGAGCATGTCCATGCTGTAAAAGGTAAGGCTCTGCCTTTTCTCATGATGGCACACTGCACTAGAAATGTCAGTGCCTCTGAGCATTTCGGCATCTAGCATCTGCATTGCAGATTTGTAAGGACACCACCTGGTCTTCTGTTCACACGTTCGCTAAGTTCTACCAGGTGTATATTTGGGCATCTGCTGAAGGGACGTGCGGTCACTGGAGGCAGTTGAGGCAGAGCCTCACCTAGTATTATGCAGGAAAAAGCTGTCAGCTTCAAGTCTGAAGTTGACAATTTTTTCTCCATTCAGTGCGGCTTGTTACAGGTTACACAGCAGAGAAAGCCTCCCCACCTTGTAACCTGTCGTGGACAGAGTTCTGCCTGTTAATTACAGGCAACGCTGCATCCGGCTTTTGACAGGAAGTTAGCTTACACAGCAGCGGGCTTCCCCACTTCTTGCGTAACCTAACTTGGTGAGGCAAGAGCTGTCACAGCCTCTACTATGTGTTAGAGGCGTGAGCTATGTGGATGGCTTGGACCAATAGCAAAGCTCCATTGGTCCAAAGTGTCCAATGAAAAAAAAACAGTGAGGACATCGATCTCGATGCCTCACCAGTGACTCACCAGTGATGAGCAAGTAAGGGACAGGGAGGCACCTCCCTTCCTCCTCCCCACACAGATTGGTTACCAAGCTGGGGATGGGGCTTTGGCTGAATGGGGTGGAGCTTTGGCTGGACAGGGCGGAACTTCGGTGGGGCCCAGCTTCGTCAGGCTGGGGGGTGCCTCATCCAGCACAGAAGGCATAGCACGTCACTGATCTGCTGATGCTAGTTTTGGCTGTATAGTGCACAAGCTTCTGTCTAAAGTTGGGGTACCCCCTTGTTTTCTGTTATGTGGAGCTGTTGGCAGTTGTTTTGCTGCATTGCCCACCACTCTGTTCTGTTGCTTGGGGATGTCCCAGTTATCTCTGAATCTGCCTCTTGCACTGTATGATCAAGAAAATGTAATTTTTGATTTACCAGTGAAATCCATTTCTTGGAGTACAATGCAGGACACATTTATTACTGCTTGTTAAAAAACTAAGAATTTCCCAGAGTGTGAGGGTCCTCACAGCTCTGGCCAGTGTCCAATAACCTGATACCTGTGTACTGTACTGTGCACTGCAGATTTTACTGCTAATTCAAAAATGATATTTTTGTTCTGCCAGAAATGGTCTCTGAACAGTGCCCTAAAAGAATCATATTCGTTTTTGGCGTTGAAAAATTTGCTCAGTTATTTTTGGTGCAGGTTTTGGTCAGAACACAAATTACACATTACACTAACTGAGTAATTGATTAAAGTATATTTGAACTCAATACCACCAAAGCACATTGCAAAACAGGAACTAATGTTTGTCTATTATGTCTGCATTTTCTTTGGTCAAAAAAAATCATCTTTTTTTTTTATTAAGGATTGGTTCAGTGGTCACATGACTGCACAGTCATCTATCGGGTCCCACTGCTGCATATAAAGGAATGTGCCCCTCTATAAAGCAGGTGGGCAGTTGGTGACATCACACACATATGGAAAAGTACATTTCCAGTGTGTATATGCAAAGGTAGCTGACAGTTCCTGCAGGGAGACAATGTCAATCAACACAGGCAGGGCTGGAAGATCACCAGGTATTTAGCACCAACAACAAAAAATGAAAGAATACATTTAGTAAGCCCTATATGAACAACACAAAACAGATAATCCTATTTTTTGGGGGGTAACATACTTAAGCTTAATTGCATACTAATATACTGTATATTATTTTACATGTGTGCCAGCCATGTAAATTAGCAATGAATAGAATAACAGCGGAATGTCAGCTGTGGAGCTAGGCTTTAATTTGATTTCTGCTCTCAGGATCTAAAAAAAAAAAGCAACAAATAATGAGCTCTGAATCTAGGGCATGGAGACAGCTGCTAGCTCCAAAGTCAGAACCTTGGCAATCCTATAATGGAGTTCCAGATGACAGCCCTTAAAAAGCACATCAGAGACCAGGTGGATACTAGATGTTGAAAAAACAACCAGTTGTACACTCACTGAGCAATTATTAGGGACACTATACTCATTCTGGGAAGGACCTTCCTTTACTCCTTAGAACAGCCCTAATTCTTCATGGCATGGATTTCACATTACACAAGCATTCCTTTGATATTCTGGTCCATGTTAACATGATTGCAATACGCAATTTCTGTATATATGCCCTGTGCACATTTATGCTGGCTATCTGCTATTCTGTTCTATTGGATTCAGATCTGGTGACTGGTTTATCATCTGTGTGCCCTAGCACAAATTGAGAATAATCCAACCTGGTTACATTTTTCCAATGTTTAACTGTCCAGTTTTGGTGAGCCTGTGCCCACTGCAGCCTCCGATGTTCTGTTTTTGGCTGGCAGCTTTAAAATAGGGATGCACAGATACTTTTCGAGTACCAGGTCAGATACCTGGCATTTTCATGAGAACTATCAGGGTTGCAGCGGTTGCAGCTGGGACCTGGCTCTGGCACTCCACCTCTGTTTGTGTTGTGATAAAATGATACAGGTGTATATTTAATTGCAACACAAGGTATCACAACGCATGGCAATGAGTCACAAAGCTTTGCCATGCGCTGCCACAGTTAATTTAATGTTTTTTTTTAAAGAAAAAAAATAAATAAAAAAGATCATGCACTGCGATGCGTTCTAACAACGCACTGCAGCGCATGTGCATGGTGTGCACCACAATATGTGTGTGTTATGTGGGGGGAGTGAGGGGTTGTGCTTTTTTTGATAATTTTTTTTTTACACATTTTTTATTTTTTTAAAATAATTTTATTTTGTTTTACATTTTTTTATTTTAATTTTTTTAAATCAGAGAGGCTAGCTCCACAAACCTAAGCTGGCCATATACCTATAGATGTTCTATAGATTGTTTTCTATCAGTCTATGGTAACATGGAAAAATGCAACAGATTCCTCCATCTACGCTAAACTGTGTGGATGGAGGAATCTCCCACTTTAGTATCTTGCTAGTAAGCTTCAGTATCTTGCTAGTCGGCCCTGCTGGCTCTCAAAATACCTCAACAATGCCTGCATCCAATCAGATTGTTCAGGTATTTTGACAGATAGCGGAGATGACAAGCAAGCTACTGAAGCTTTGCCCAGTGGGAGATTCCTCCATTCACACAGTTTAGCATAGATGGAGGAATCTGTTGTGCTTTTTATATCTGACCATAGAAAATCAGCAGAAAATCTATAGGTGTATGGCCAGCTTTTTCCAAAATCATAATTTCTCCAGACCCATTTTGGTTGTGTGCTCATGGATATAGCACAGAACTGACAGAGCTCCGGCCGAAGCTGACAGGAGCTGCTCCTGCAAGTCGGGCCGTGTGTCAGCTAGCAAGAGACCGTGCCGTACATTGAAGCTGTACGGCAGCGGTCGATTTAAAGGGGAATCAGCGGGGGGGGCACACGGGGGGGGACAAGGCATAAGCTAGGGGGGGCAATTGCCCCCCTGTAGAGACGGCTATGCCTTTTTCATACTGGTCTGTACTACTACTTGACTTTCTCAAATAATAACTGAATGTCTTAGGCTCAGTCAGAGCCAACTGTACCCGCCCCCGTCTGGCGGCACGGAGTGGGCGAATCCAGCCCCTCCCCTGTCACGGCAGAGAGCTGTGACAGGATCGAGAGGTGAGAAAACATCTGCATATCATTAGGCTTCTTCATAGTGACAACAGTGGACTATGCCTGTGCAATGTGCATCAGCAAGGGTGCTTTCAGTCTTCACTAGAATCCCAAGTGGAAGGGTGCCAATGCAAAAGAACAACTGAGAGACATGGACAAGTGTTTGCACAAGGAGTGCCTGCACAAGGACTTCCATGGTAGGACTATCAGATGTTTTTGCAAATGAATGCTGTAGATTTAAAAATATTTAAAATGACTTTTGAAATGACATTACCATGTTGAAGCTTATATAAGTTTTGCACGATTGGGTTTATATATGCAGAACTACAGGCACATATAAATGGCATAAATGCAGCTCATTTTTCATAAGTGCATAATTAGATGTCTTTTTTATTTGTAATGAAATGTAAGTAGCTGGTATCATCCTTATGCAGCCCTTGTACTGATAGGATGAGAGAGCAGGATGACAGAGAGATGACCCCATCAGTGTTCAGCTTCCTTTCACTGCCCAATCACCGGCTGGGGGAGCGGAGAAGACCTGTAAGTGTTACATAACTGCAGCAGAGAAAAATCATGTTTCCTGCCCTGTCAGACAGTGCCAGCAGAGCTGTGTAAAACATGTAACTGGAAGGATAGAACTACAACAGCTCCCTTGTACCTGTTTTCCAGTATTGTATTTCAGTATAAAAAATTTTGAGATAAAATGACTTATTTTTTAGAGATCATTTTATTCATTTTTGCTATTTAGACATTTTTTAATGTTTTTATATGGTAATTTAATAGTAGTAAATAGAATTACATTAGTGAAGTAAATAAAGTGTTAATAAAGGGGGTATTTACTAACATTTCATTTTGCTGTTACCTGTTAACTTATTTTCTGTGTGTATCTTTGTAGCAGTGGAAGCTGTCTGCTGTCATTTTCCTGATTGGCCCTGGGTAATTTAGTGTCGTTCATCTGCAGCAGCTTAAGAGTACGCTTCCCTATGACATTCCAGGAAGCAATAGGCAGTGACAGGAAAATAAGCAAGTCCCTTCACTAATCCCCTATCCTATTTTATCTGACGGACTGAGCCGCATCTAAAGCATCACTCTGTGACTGAAAGCAGAAGACACTTAACAAAATGTGACCCATTACTGCCTGCGGATCTCGACCTGTGCACTGAGGTGGAACCTATGGTTAGTTCACCATGTGTATTTTGCTGGTCATCTTTGGTTGCCTAGTGTTTGGAGGCCTTCCTTTCTTCTGCTTCTCCTGTCCATCACAATGCAGCTGCAATTTTCACTCACTCGGCGATGGATCAAAATCCAGGTATGCCAACATTTGTATTCTTGCCCTCATAGCAATCTGTCATCTGTAGTACATCCTGTGTGATCATGCTATTTGTTAATATAATATGTTATTTCTTTTCATACACGGTGTGCCGTTATTTCCTGTGTTCAAAGGATTAACTTCTGAGCACATTGTAATCTGATTTTAAAGAAACCATTGAATGTCTACTGCACTACTCAGAGAATGCACCATTAGAACAGTGCTAGATACATGTAAGAAATCGGGGCATACTCTTTCAAAGAACTGATGCAGATTTACTTGCCTGTCATTTGTAAGAAGCAGCCCTTTTTATTAATAATGCAAATCAAAATACATTGTATATATAACTTTGGCAGCTTCATAATCTTTTTCTATAAATAAATAACTCTTCTATTGCATAATTACAGACAAAGTACATTCATTTTCCAACATTTCCTTAAAAACAGCCTTATTATTTATGAGAATTAAGCTCCCCAATTCTAATATATTTAATATTTTAGTTTTATAGCTGCAATATAATTGGTTTAGTATTGCCTTTGGATGATTTGTTTAGAGTAGTTGTGTCCTTGTATGACTGTAAACACATCTAACATATCATTTCTGCATGAAAGTGGCACTATTCAATTATGTATCAATTCTAGAGTAGTGTCATTATGGATTAAACTCAATGTGTTATTTTAATATATTTGAATGGATAGTTGTTAGATGATGGTGATCGATCCTGCTAATTTCACAAGCAGTACACTTCAGAAGACCCCAGGCTGATTGCTGTTGGCAAGAAAAGCCTTTAAGCCAAGTTGGTTACTCTTGGCTACTAGCTGTTATTCCTGCTAGAAAATAGGGGTGCCCTCTGAATACATAGCCATGCATGTTATTGATATCCGCTAATATAGGATAAATAGAATACTCAGCAGAGGAGGGTCTGTATTGTCTTCACCCCAATAATGTAAATCACAAAACCAAGAGAAATTAGATGACCCAGCCCTTTGGACCGGGAGGGGGCTTTAAAAGCACTCCACAGACCCTCAAAAAACAATTTAAAATGTTATACATTTGATTGCCTACTATAAGGTAAAAACATCACAGTTTAAAATCAAATGTATACCTGCTTGTCTGAGTCCATTACAGCTGATATATAATTCACAGGTGCAAAATACCATGGTGTGTAAACAGTGATGACGGTAAGTACACTGCTGATTCCTCAACGTGTTTTGCTAGAACATAGCTTCCTCAGGAGGATTGGAACGACATGTGTAGCCCTGCTTGTAGATGCAGAGGCAAAACACCTGGAAGTCCCCCAGGGGGGG